AGACTGAATCATTTTCCTTTCAGAAATCGATTTTCATACCTGCTTGATCAAAAAGCAAATAAATTCAAACTACAAAATGAAATGCAAATAATCCCCATTAAGCACAAGATCCCAGAACACTGTACCTTTCTCTCTCTAACAAGGATGCTTCCTCTCCATAATTCATCCTGATCAATGCAGGACAGGAGCTTTTCTTGCCCATGTATGTCAGCCACCAAGTACGAGGCCATTTTCTGCCAACTAGATTAAAAACCGCACACAGATTAGCAAGAAATCAAGAAGCATGTGCATTTAAAACACAAAGGGACACTCACTATGATACCAAGTGCTAACATGAGCATTCAAAATACGTCCCTTTTACACCCAGCATTTTATTAGCATTAAATACTGTCTTTGTCTCTATTGCATTACAGGTAATTTAATGAAAAAACAAAACTCATTCGTATTTCTGACTGCACTTGAAACAGCAACGCACATGGTAGACATCCCCCCCCTACTGGCTAAAAGTGGAATATTCCAAGCACATTCAGGTTTATGTGCAATCAGGCAGCCCTCGATATAAATCTACAGCAGTACCCCGCATTGTTCGCCGTCGCCACGGTAATCTTGGCCGAATGCCATGCTTGCATGTGCTTCAGTGAACCCAGAACTGGAAGAAATTCCTTTGTGCTTGGAGCTTCCGTATCGGTCGACAACAAGACAACATCCAGGAGAGCCTGACCTGGGGGAAAACAGGAACATGTCATCTTCAAATCATCTTAATCAGCTAGATCTGCTAGCTAAAGGTTCACATAGGTAGGATTCTGGGATTTTTTTAAGCCACAAATTACTACACTGGCATCCCATCCAGGCTGCACCCCAGCCCAGTGCCGCCTAGGATAGGATGCAGGCCACCTTGTGACCCTGACCAGCATAAGAGGTCAGAAGGCAGGTGTGCTACCACTGGAGTTTGTAGGTAAACCTGAAATCAATTTAGCACAATGAGGCTTACAGCAGATGAAACAGAATGTGAATACAGTGTGCTCTGTATACAGTATTTCTGAATACATTTTCTGCCAATCAAAAAATGCTAAAAATGTCCTATAATTTCATCCAGCTTTGGGGTCAGCAAATGTCTCAGCATGTTAGCGCACTGTGCCCGTGACTGGGGAATGTTTTGCAAGCCCACCTGAAAGATGCTTCACCATAAACCTCCCCCCTTCACATCCCCCTTAATGCAAACAGCATCCAGTTTAATCAGGTAAACTGTACACCTGTGTAAGCAATCCACCTCCCACGTGGGGGTGCCCCCTGCACAGTGCTGCATGGGATCGGCTCCATGCCCCTAACCAGAATAAGCAGGTAGGGGATGGATGGATGGATGGATGGATATCGTTTGTTTACCTGGAGGAGGCAGCTTGTCAGCCAGCTGGTGAAGGCCCTCAGCGGCCTCCTCAAACAACCTGCATTGGGACAAAGATCGCAGGAAGCTTGTTTATAATCACCATTGCAGTGACGGCACTGCATGACGTACTCATCACACCCACTCACACGCCCAGCCTAAACCTAGAGGACGCAGTTATAAGTCTCACTTATCCAGTGGCATTCTCACAGTGCCAGGAATTACTAGCCTATAGCAGTGAAGGGGGGGGGAAGAAGATCAGACACTACAGATATTTATTATATTGCATTCTCTTCTTCATACATTTCAGGGGTGGAACTGCCAAAACGGTACATAAAGAGAACACATACAATGGAATATAAATTACATGACTTGGCTTGTAAACAAATATGGAAATAAACTCGTTAGGCCTGTTTCTGGAAGCAAGATATCTTTGCTTGTCGGATTTAAGGTAGCCTGGGCTAGATGTAAGTGAACGATAAAGTCCAGTTAGCCCAGACTACCTTAAAGTTATCCAGCTAAGCAAGAAGAAATTAACAATGGTGAGGAGAGGCAGCACACTGTTTTGACTTGAAGCAGGAGCCTCATAAATGAACTCTCACTCTGACTGTGCCTGGGGGTCCAGCAGTGCCTCATTGTCGTCCTCCGCCCCCTTCTCAAGCAGGGCATCCCTGCAGGTATCCAGGGCCGACGGCCCAGTGTCCTCACCGTCACTCCTGCGACATCCCACCCCGAGCTCATCCCATGCAGAGCTGCAGAACTAAACATTCCAGCACAGAAAAGCGACCATACAATTAATGACAGATCACAACACTTTCTATCCGTTTGGCTGAGGAGTCATTGCTAGGAAAGGCAGCAATTCACAACACAGGTTAAAACATGTTGAAGAAAAGCTGAATACACAATGCTCACAGAACATCTAGGGACGCCTGCTTAATTCTGTAAAAATGTATTGGTTTCATAACAAAGGTCTATGGACAAGCAATGCTCATCATATCTGCACATGTCTTCCACACAGATTTTTTTGAGGCTAATACATTTTTTATTCTCCCCACCCCTCCTGGGGTGTGCTGGCCAAAAAAAGAAAATCACAATATTCTGTTTATCCTGCTGCCTGCGACGCCTCTACTACTTGACGTCCTTCTGGCCTGCCCTCCTGCCAGTGACGTCCTTCTGGGCTGCCCTCCTGCCAGTGACGTCCTTCTGGCCTGCCCTCCTGCCAGTGACGTCCTTCTGGCCTGCCCTCCTGCCAGTGACGTCCCTCGTGCCTGCCCTGCTGCTGTACCACAATTCATCCTGCCTTCAGAAGCAGCACCATCACTGGCCTGCCCTTCGTATTGAGATTTGAGTTTTTAAATTGGGACCATGTGAAATGAGACTTTGCCATCTTGCTCATTTAACTTCCTCTGCCAGCCTCTTGGATTCTGGTTCCTCCCAAGGTTTCTTCCTATTAGGGACTGTCCCTTGCCACTGTTGCCTCTGGTTTGCTCACTGGGGGCTTTGCGCAGGGATAATGTAAAGTGCTTTGAGACAAAGTAATGTGGTGAAAATACACTATACAAATAAAACTGAATTGAACTACAATTGAATTTTTAGTGTCAGCTTTTTCTTTTTGACTGACTCATTCAGTTCTGTTCTTGCCATTTTGCTATCAGTTGCAATTGTAGTCATTGACTCCCAAAGGGACACCAAACATAAATGTTTGGCATTTTATGTTATTGCAAAGGTTTTACCAATTAAAAAGCACCCAATGAGACTGCTTGTCAAGGAACTTTTAAACTCAGAACAGCTCTTTTAGAACTATAATTTGGGTTTAATACTGAATGAATGTTTTACTTAAAACCACTGGTTGTTTCTAATGTGATATTTTTTGTAAAGAAATTAACAAAGTAACGATTTTGTTATAAAGCCAATAAATGTACGATATTGTTACTGAATTAAGCAAGTGTCCCAAGACTTTGTGAGCACTGAGTACCTTAAGGTGACCAGCTTGCAACACATGTAATAAAATTTGAGAGACAGCACAAAGCCATATGAATCACTGAGGCACATTTACAAACACATGATAAAACACAGATCACTTTAAAAGCACTGTCTAACTAATTGATTAAAACCAATTAAAATAGAAAAAAGAGATCTGCATGACATTTGCATAATAAATTACATAAAATAGGAAAAAACAAGAAAAAAATAAGCAGAAGAAACTGATATACACAAAACACTAGTCATACATTCAGTTTCTGACACAACCTGAAGTATTTGGGGGGGTGTACCTTTACTTGGAGCCCCCCTAACTAAGAAAACTGATGACTGTTTCACTTTCTCCACAAAGCAGGTAATTCGGGTGCCCTAGGCAGCTGCTTATTCTGATTACAGCTGGAGCCGGCCTTGTTTTGGAGTATTCATGTTAAGAGGAGCGTCACGTCAAAAGCAACTGAATTAAAAGGAACGGACCTGCGATGATCCACAGCTTGCCTGGACGGCAAAGTACCAGCGGCGTCCTGCAGAGACTCTACCGGGCAGGCAGGCTAAACGTGTGACGGAGACACAAAACCATCCACGCAGAATTATTACAAACGTACTGAGCAATGGAACTAACGACCATATGCTTAACGGAGAAATTCATAACATTTTATTTAGACATCAAATTTCGATTATGTATTTTCCCACCTATAAAAGCAACCTGGTGTTTTTGTTTTATAATTTTGAATAACGGCAATTGATAAGCTTTGAATGTCCAGGTCATAAGTAAGTGGAAACTTTACCAGGAAACAAGGAGTGTTGAGGTGCTGAGGTACTGGCGAGACTTTTGAGGAAATCATGAATCTGCTTCACAAGGTCCAGGTCTGGATTTTTACGACAAAACCGAGAATCACACATCTGCACAACGTACACGGTAAACATTAATACATACAAAATACAACAGCGGCTCTGAAAAAGGTGGAGAGCTGCTTACACTAAAATGTTTTTATGGCGCTAGTCACACAAATTTTCATACATATATATCTAGTTAATTACTTGTCAGCCAAAGCAACGACGGATGGACGAAAATGAACTTGGCAGATCAAAGTTTACATGTCTAAGAGAATATTTACGTTATGAGAAATCAGGCCGTTGGGTAGAAACGTGACAAATATCGTAAAGACTATGCGTCTGCTTCCTACGAGATTATATATGTACAACTGTACTATTTACATAAAAATCAGATACAGCATTATTTCACCCGTTAGCCAGAGAAACTGATATCTTACCCTTATCGACGGTCTTACAATCTCCCTTTTTCGTAAAATTAACCACAAGCACAAATCTATCCATTTTTCATTAGTAAAATTTATTTGGTTAATATGAATCAAGGCGGCGAAACCTCACACAAACAGATAAAAACAAAATTGCCCGCTTTGTAGCCGCAGGAAGTTGTAATCCGTGACGTCGGTCGGAAAATAGCAACTCCAAAATACGCTCGGGCGGAAAAAATACTGTTAACATGAGATATTATTGCTTGCTAGGGGATTTGCCCATTGTATACACAGTATATATACAATTTTCAGTTTCTCGAGTACATTAAAGATATTTTACATATAAAGATTATTTTTACGGCTTTGCATTACAACTGGAACTATTTTTTTCTGTATACGATATTGGCCGACTGATTTACGGTGTTGCACCAGGTTTGAGCTTAGGGGTGAAGCAATGTGATGTGATTCTTTTGGCTTACTGTTTTCTAACATTTTGATCATGTCTAGTTTTAGCAGATCTGCTCAGGTAAGACAGGTAGTATAACGTCTTTTGTGCGATTCGTAATTGGTTGTTTAGTGTTTAGTTTGTAATGACAGGTAAAGGTCTGCTAAAAGCGTGTCTTAATTGGATGTATAAAATTGCGTACCTGAACAAAATATTAGCGTAACATAAATAACATAAATATCCCTTTATTACCATAGGGTAAAATGTTTGTTCATATAATTAACCAACTCTTTTCCTAAGCGGTTCATTTGCCTTGCTGTGCAACTGAAGGTTAAGGAATCATTTAGGTATATATACTTGAAATTGCCGACGAAAGTACAGTGTCCCATGAAATGGGCCTATTTGTACATCTAGCTTTCTTTGTAATGTTTTTTGTCCGGATGGCGTAAAATGCAAAATAATTAGACATGCAAATGTTCACGCGCTAGACCATCGACAAACCGGTAGAAGTCACGCACCCCTCCCCCGTTTATGTTATATTTTCTGTCAGATCAGATTGTCAATGAAGCGGTAGCAATACAAAAGGGATTCAAAAATTTTATACCGGAGAAACTGGTAGAGTGTTATATTGCATTGCAAATAATTGGCACGCAATTTAATATTATTTCGGTGAAAAATTCGTAGCATCTATGCACGTAACGTTTCTTTCAGTCTGTCCAGTGACTCTTTCTTGAAGTTGATGTTATGTAATGGGATACATTCCGCAATAATTCCGGCAACACTTGTCACTGGTTACCTTAACTAAAAAAATCTGTAGCTCTTTCGTATTGATTGCTGTGCACAACGTGATATTAAGTAATTCCTGAGAAATGCATATAGTGTATTTGGATATCATATGTACAAAGTGTACATAAGATGTTAACCGGAAATTCAGCAAAAGCACTTGATGTTTGCTATGCGTGTTCCTCCAGTACCTGTAATAATAATATATTTATTATTGTTTAGTTATAGCCGTGTTCAAAACAACCTAATTGATAAGAAGTACCGTTTAGGCAATGGCGTAGGAGAGAGTTTAATATTGGGGGGACACAACTTGCGAATTTAAATACAAAGGTCTGTTTATTGGGGGATGGATGTGGGAAAATTAAATATTGCAGGGTTAGGTCTTCAACCCCCCCTCCCCATTCCTAAGACCATGGGTTGTGAACTTGCTCATATGCTCATACTGTGCTCACTAATATGCATTCTTTTGGGTGATTGGCCATTGTTGGTTTCCCTTAGCAATGGGCTACCTTTGCAAGATCGTGGTATTTAATAGATGCAAGAATGCAGCCTCCAGGAAAGATTTCAACCATGTGCTCTATCAGACTGCAGGGGAAACACAAGCCTATCTATCACGCACTGAGTAAGTATCCATTCATCTTCCTAATCTGCTTATTGTACTGGGCACTGAGAAGCTACTTTAGCGAACTGTTGATTATGACCACCAGGTGGCAGTGCAGCCTCAATATATCAGAAACCAAATTATTCAACCTCACGTACGTATCGGTACATCTGCAATTTAAGTGTGATATTAAATACATGAAAGCCTATATTTCTAGCTTGCTTTGAATGTTATAATCAGTCTTATATACTATCTGCAATTCTATCTCGTTTACCTTAAAGAAATATTAATCCTTTGGAATGGTCATAAATAAACAATTAAAGTCAGGATGAACAGACAGAATTTGAAGAAAAAAATACACAATTTTGGCTTCCACAAAAAGTACTCCCCTCAGGACTCTATATTACTTGCTTTATGCGGACAGACATTGGGACTTTGTCACCTCTCGTTAAGGTGTCTGGTAGTGGACACCTGTTTGGCCATGGATGATACTAGATCCTTTAAAGTTTTATTTGCAGTGCTCTTCAGAGCCTGTGATTGCTGAGCTGCCTTTTGAAACACAATCATGCGGCCTGTCAGGGTCAATCTCTACAGTAGAATGGCCCATTATCGAGGCTGTGCATGGCTGTTGGCTATGGAGCCGATCTGGCCAATCAGAGTGGACAGTCCCCGGCCCCAGGCAAGTGGGAACCTGCTGGAGCAGACCCATTCATCTCCTGGCTCACCTCTGTTTTAGCTGTCAGTCTCCCCTAAACCTCCCGGCCCATGAAAGCACCGTGTCCAGCAGCTTATTGTGCTCCCGTAACCTGCCGTTCTGCTCTCCGACTTATTTATTTTATAAGGAAGCTTCATGGTGATGGAGGGATGGCTGCACCTACCGGGAGGAAGTTAATTCCCATTTTTCGTATTTTCGCCCTGCAGAGGGGGGGGCAAGGGAATAGGATAGCTAGCCTTGTGTCCCTTCCCTGTAGCCTACAATAAAAAGATTAGCTGGACTTATGTCACGTCCCTGTCACCTTTAGTAAAAAGGTTAGCTGGCCTTGTGTCCCTTCCCTGTAGCCTTTAGTGAAAAGATTAGCTGGACTCATGTCACGTCCCTGTCGCCTTTAGTAAAAAGGTTAGCTGGCCTTGTGTCCCTTCCCTGTAGCCTTTAGTAAAAAGGTTAGCTGGCCTCGTGTCCCTTCCTTGTAGCCTTTAGTGAAAAGGTTAGCTGGCCTTGTGTCCCTTCCCTGTCACCTTTAGTGAAAAGGTTAGCTGGCCTCGTGTCCCTTTCCTGTAGTCTTTAGTAGAAAGGTTTGCTGGCCTTGTGTCTCCTCCTTGTAGCCTTTAGTAAAAAGGAGAGTCAGTCTCATGCCCCTTCCCTGTAACCTTTAGTGAAAAGGCCTGCTGTGAGCAGGATGAAATATTGACTCCTTTCATCATTTTTTTTCCATGAGGCTTGTTTGCTGGAGCCCTTCAGCTTATTATTTCAAAAACAGTTTCCAGCAGTAATGACTGATCTGTTTTATGTTACTTGAAGCTGCCTTTGACTCTGAGTCCTTACATTTTTCAAAGGGAGGGTCATCCCTCTATCTTTCAGAGCCTAGCTGTTTTATTATAGCTCTGATAAATGACGATTTGTCAGGGACAAGATCTTCCATTAAACTGAAGGGAGATCTCCATACCGCTGGAATCATACAGTGAAAGTCTCTCCTATGGACAGCAACGGTGACAGGTTTTGTGGCCATAATGTTTTGTGGTCATAACTAAACAGTTACCCATCTCTTTCAAGGTGACTGTGGCGACCATGTGGTCATCATGAATACAAGACACATCGCCTTTTCTGGGAACAAGTGGGAGCAGAAGGTCTACTCTTCTCACACGGGGTGAGTGCTACCCCTCATCCCTCGTTCTGGAGTATCCAAATCATTGGTTAGCCATTTCAGGTCCCTCCAGTCAGCATTAGCCATTTCAGGTCCCTCCAGTCAGCATTAATTTTGGATAAATGTGTCTGTTAAATAAATGTTTATAAATCTTGATTAAACCCTTAAGGGCTCACTGATTGGAGTTGGACCTGGAGGCAGTGTTGGCTTAGCAAGTTAGGCCTTCGATCGAAAGGTCGTCAGTTACAATCTCAGGATCGGAAAGGAGATTTTACTTTTGGGCCCTTGAGCAAGGCCCTTAACCCCCAACGGCTCCAGCGACTGTCTGACCTCATTGGATAAAAGTGACTAAGTAAATGTAATGAGAAAATAAAACGATTTAAATGTAAAGCAGGGAAAAGGCCAGACCCTGGTCTTTAAAGACGAGGAACGCCTGCGTTCTGTGTGTAATCTTAATCTTCCGGGACTCGTAATGGCTGATAAGTTGTTACAGTGGGCGTGCGTTAACCTGAGCCGTGCTCTGCTCCGTTTGAAGATACCCAGGTGGATTCAAGCAAGTCACGGCAGTCCAGCTTCATCAGAAGGACCCCAGAGCGGTGAGTCAGGCTCTGCCATTGATGACAGGGAAAATGGCCGTTCTGCGGGCATCCCGTCCTCCCTCAGGAATCCAACTGGCAGCTGTTGTTTTTTTTTGCTTCCGAATTCGGCGTGTGCTCCTTTTTAAGTGCTTGCAGTTCTATAGTGTGCCCTTAGGGAGCGCCCTGAACTAATTTCTCTGCGGCGTGTGTCAGATTTCCTAGGGGATTAGCAGAATTGCAGTTGTGGGGGGGGGGCATTAAAGCTTTGGCTATTTATATGGGTATGTTTCACAGAAATCTACATTCAAGCACAGGGCAATTAAATTATTCATTGAGCATCCAGTGAAATCATGAAAGAATTTTAGCTGGTGTCCCGTTCTACCATCCCCTCTCCTCAAGTGAAGTGTTGTTGGTGTTTTTTTTATATCATCATGTGACACACATACCTCTATCATCAAACATGTGCTGCAGCTCTACTTAAATGGTCCTGCCTACCCATAATGCACCCCTCTCAAGGTGTCACTTAGCTAGTTCAGTAAAAACTTGCAACGCGCAGGTTTACGTTTTTTATTATTACCCAGTGGGCTAGTGTTCAGTTTTTTGTTCTCGCCCTAAATTTCTCCGCTCAGCCAAGTGGGTGAGCTTAATTTCCTGCCCTTGTCACATGACGGTGATCTAGAAGGGCAAGGATAACCCACAACAGAGCTCTCCTTTTTCAGGACACAACAAAAAAATAAGAGTTCATTGCTTTTTATAGAGTGCTGGCTTAACGTTGAGTGTTAAATGATGACCAGTGAGAATCGTAATGCTAATTCTGTATATGGGTTAATAAAAAATGTTCGATTTTTTTTTTTTTGGTCACCTCTCTCTTCCCACCCTCCCTGGAGGCCATTAATAAAACAACCCTTTTACCAGCTTGTTGTAAACCAAGAAAAATACATAAGGGCTCTCAGGTGGAACATTTGGTTAAAATTCTTATACCAGGAGCAGAATGGTCCCAATGAAATGAAGATTCTGATTCTCTGCTGTGATAATTTGCAAACTGTAATACTTAACCGTCATCTTTTCAAAGGTAACGCATTAGAAGTCAGGCATGGAGGGTATTAATCCATCAACTGTCTGCCCAGAGCAGGTTACCGTTCATCCTGTCAGTATGAAAGAGAAGCGCATTGGTGACCTGCTCTGACACGGGTGGAGGGATGCGGCCTTGTGTTGGAAAATAAAATAAAATAAAAAAAAATTATCAGCTCGGCCGAGGACACGCGGTTATAAATTTAGCGGAGATTTTCCAGTTTTGACAGCGCAGAATCTCTGCGAGTATATTACACTCCAAAGGCTGAGTCATGCTTTGAGTATTCTATATTTTTTTCCAAACAAATTAGCGTGCGAGTAAATCCCCTGATTCCGCCCTCCATACGTTGTCAGTGACAAGACGAGCAATCCAAATTAAATAATCAGAGTGTGGAACTTGAAGTCCTGGAGTCGGGCAGACCCAAATACGGTGATGTCATGCCCACTGGGGGCGTTAGCGGTAACTGTGGGCCAGAGAAGGTGTTTCTCAAAATTTGGCTCGGGTTCGAGCAGGTGTTTGTCAGTGATATATAAGTACGATGTGTGTGTGTGTGTGTGTGTGTGTGTGTGTGTGTGTGTGTGTGTAATTTTTATAGGTCACTTCAGTGTATTAACCCACATAAATGAGATGGATGCCCGTCTTGGGCTGAGTTATTTCTGGAGATAAAGAATCCATCAGGGATAATTGTGCATAATCATCACACGGAGGTACTGTCCCTCCCCTGTCCCAAACTGAATGATGGCTTCTCCCGATAGCTGGTATTTGTCATCCCTCCTCCTTTCAAGAATAAGCAGTTGGAGTGAAGCAGATGAATGCATGCATGCTCGGGGATGATTCCGGAAGGTTCCGTGCGGGAGCTGCTCTCCTCGCAAGGACTTAATGTGTCGCGCCAAGGATTTATTTATTTATTTATTTTTCCATTTTGAAGCATGAGTGTTCAGCTACAGTGGTTACAAAATGCAGCAGCGCTTCACATTTATCGCGCTCGCAGTGTGTCGGCGAGACGCCGCAATAAACCACAAATCCGGAATGTTCCATGGAATTACGGGACTGTTAGTCCTGACAGTTAGCATAAAGGGGAAGGATTTAAAGGCACACGCACCCGGAACCTTTAGGACTGTGATTACAGCAGGGCCTGTCGTGGCTGGTTTAGGATGGGCACCGACATTTCGGATGACGGACAGACAGGATCCCCCACCCCCATGTATGACTCATAGGTCCCCCCCTCCCTCTAGATCATCAAGCTGGCCGTCTACGGGATGCTTCCCCGAAACCTACTGAGGAGAACCATGATGCAGAGGCTGCACCTCTTCCCCGACGACGTAAGAGCGTGTTGTGGCCGGACCGCTGTCCCAGTGTGTGCACCGCCTCTGTCCTCCTGCCCTCCCTGCTGGCTCCCTGCTCCTGAAACATCTGCTGCTCTTCCTTCAGCTCTCCCTAAATTATTTGAAACATTGAGCTGTTGACTGATTATAATTTAATCTATTGTGGTGTTTCTACATTTTACTTGACAGATATTTGTCTTAAAGTTGGATGAAAATAATACAAAATAACAATACTGCAATTCCAGAAGAAAGTTATGGCCGATTATTCACTATTTTGGCTAGAACAAATGATATGATTAATTATTGGTAGTGCTTGGATCCTGCACAATTTATCTATTTATCTGTCTGTCTGTCTGTCTCTGTGTGTTTGTTTGTTTATCCTTGTCTGAGTCGTGGCCTCATACCATTAAAGTAACAATTGGGTAATCAAAATAACTTAAATGCTCGAATTCTCGTTAATAACAAGCATTAAATTTTTTTAACAGGCTGCTACCAAGTTATGGTGCAATGAAGCTTAATTCCTACATATGTACCTTCAGTGCTTCTTGTAAGGCACCTGAATTCTGTAACTGGCTTATAATTTCATCAAGTGCCCATCGAGCGACATTAAGGGGTTGGCTGCATCGCGCGCCCACTTCGCTAAGGGGACGAAGGCTAATCTGCTGAGCCAATCAGGCTTTGGTGCCTCGTAAGAATGGATTTGTGGGCCTAGCGCAGCTCGTGCTCGCTGAGGCTCTCTGCGAGCGAGACGTTCCAGGCTCTGAGAAGCTGGCTCAGGAGATGTGGCTTTCTGAGATGCTTCTGGGTTTTTTTGTTTGTTAAGGATCTCCCGGAGGACATCCTGAAGAACCTGACGGAAGAGCTACCGCAGCCCAGGCGGATCCCGCGGAAGCTGAGCGAGTACACACAGGAGGAGCGGGACGCCTTCCCCGGGATTTGGGTCCCGTAAGTATCTTCCCAAAGGACCCCTGCCACAAATCCCCGGCAATGAACGCTACTGCCTGAACGGTCTTTTTTTCAGGCTCTCCATGCTCACCCCCCTATCCCGTGACTCCGAGTGGTTCGGCCCAGATGGGGTCTCCCCCTTTCTTACAGCACTGGAGTGTTTTGCCCCAGACTGTCACAGCTTACTGTTGCCCCAGTGTCTGGAAAAGCTCCCCACAATCGTCTCCGCCCACCTTCCCAAATAAGCATCTGTAAAGAACAGGGGTGACGTGGACCGGACCACATCATTTTGGCTTTGTCGTCAGCAGGGTTTGCACTTTCCTGAACACGGACGCAAACGGGGCCCGGGCGAGACGGGAGTGAACCACGCGGGCGTCTCTTTCAGACACTTAGCTGTCATTGCTACCATTATCGTTAAAATTCAACGCAGGCCTGAGATTTAAAAGACCTCTGTTTTTTCCTGCTGCAGTGTGTGGAGGGGGGGGGGGCTCTTTGACCCCTCTGCCCCATCTGACTTATTAATGCTCAGCACGGGCAAATGAGTCGATTATCACTACATGTGCAGAATACAGTAGCTGAGGGGTTGGTCCCAGCTGGGCGTGTTTCTTTAATATTTAGTGCTAAGCCACCCAGAATGAGAGAAAATTGCAGGGCTCTCCGAAGTGCTCGCCTTCCTCTAAAGAGGCTTTAGACCCTAACCCTGCCTCGCTAATGAAACGCAGGACGTCCTCAGGCCGTCTCTCTCCGCTTCTGCAGACAGCTTAAAGGGAGGGGCGGCCTGTTTGTTCCCGAGCAAAACGTTGCAGGTTCAGTTGCGCGTGTGACCGTCTCTCCTGAACGCATCAGCCCGGAGAACGTTCCATCAGATTCTTTTACCCCCCCCCCCATAAATTGTTTTTGGACCGTCCACTTGGCAGGGATTTATTTGAGATGGCAACATGTCCCGGACAGAAAAATGCGGTTTAACCCTTTGATGACCTATCGATAATTAAAACGATTTATGTACTACTTTATCACTGGGAGCACGGAACCCCAAACTGTGACAGGAGGTCCATAAGGCTTTGATTCCAGGCCAGTGTGGTTTAAATTCGAGCCACTCTGTAAATAATTGGTTTGGCGTGAACATCGCGGCTCCCGATGTATGGTGGGTTAGGGTTCCATGTTAAAAAACACGCACGATATCGGCAATGCGTTGCTAAGGTTTCTGCTGGGAAATGGTAGCCTCTATTGTTAAAGAAAACATTTATTTCCAATAGCTTCTCAGAAGTTTTATTTTTAACTGGTTATTTTCTTCAGTTAACTTGTCTGAAAATTTAAAGGATTTTTTCGTTATTTTAAAGTGCTTTAGTTTTACACAAGGGAATATGCTTAATTTAAAAGCTCTCTGAAAATTGTTTCAAAAATATCATCTGTTCTTGTCCACGTCATACTTGTGTGCTTTACTGTCACAAGGGCAGCGGAGTGGACGCCTGTATTTTACACGTAAAAATCATAACCGTGTAAAATCCGTGTCTGTGAGTTTCTCGTTTCGCTTTGTCCTCCCGTGACATTCATTCGGCGTCCAGACGCACGTTTACTATGTCGGCTTCCCATTTCTGGCCCGGTCTGTAAATGAAAGATGACAGCAGGCAGCCGAAACCAGCCGGGGCTTTAAGACCCAAAGGTGGCGGTAAACGGAACCCGTGTTATTAAACCTGTTAGCCCTGGGTGGGACCTGCCGCTAATGGGTAACCCGGAGGACCCGCTTTTGCAGTTAACGTTAAAATATTAAACGGGCCTGTTGGGGGTGGGGGACACGGTTTTGCCGTTATTCGGCGTAATGTTTGCCTGGATGGCGATAGCAGCACACTTATGTTCGCAGGGGCCATACCCCCCCCCGGAGTAGGCCTCGAGCCACACGACCGCGGCGCCGCGTTTATTGGGTGCGTAGTGCCACAGGGACCCTTCGGGTGGCGCTGGTGGAGAGGCGGGAGCCTGATCTGTCACCCCGTTTCACCGCAAGGCAGGAAAACTAGCTGCGTGTCAGTGTATTTATTTGATAGGCAGCCCCCCGCCCCCCAAGTCATCTACAGCCTGCAGGAACACCACCCCCCCCCCGAGCACTACCACCTTTAACTGCATGACAAGGTCTCAGTGTAACGCTCATCTACAGCAGAGCGGAGGGAGAGTGATTCGGCCCAAGGGAGTCACAGTCCCTTTGAGCATAATGGAAATGGAAATGGCATCTTCATAAATATGTATTTACAGCTTGTATTTATATATATATATAATATATTTTCTCCCCTGCGGCGTTGATGTGTGCGGCTCAACACAGCCTTCGGAGCGAGTGCCGTTTTTTCCGCTCCTTTTAATGTGACGGGGCTCCCTGCCCGGCCCTGGCTACCCTGCCAGACTCTATCACCCTGAGAGATGGAGGGCCCCCTCAGCCCCGCATTCCAGGCCCCCTGATTGATAGCCCCTCCGGGTCGGCACTTCGGCATTGTTGCCGGATTGTTTTTTCCCCAGCGGGTGAGGAGGTGACCTGCGAGACCTTACAGTGCCTTCAGTCCTCCATGCAGGATGAACCGGCGCTATGTTGAAATCATGGTCATGTTTTCGTTTTCTGGGCAGGGCGTCTATGTTTCCAAATTCCTGATAAAGGTACACGACACATCCCTCGTCCAGAATGATCTGTCTCTGTCTGTCTGACTGTCTCTGTCTGTCCTGTGTCTATCTCTCTGTATCTATTTCTCTGTCTGTCTGTATCTGTGTCTGCCTGTCTATCTAGATCTGTCTGTCTGTCTGTATGTGTTTTGCTATCTCTGTATCTGTATCTCTCTCTGTCTATCTCTCTGTTTCTGTCTGTATCTGTGTCTATCTCTCTGTATCTATTTCTCTGTCTGTCTGTATCTGTGTCTGCCTGTCTATCTAGATCTGTCTGTCTGTCTGTATGTGTTTTGCTATCTCTGTATCTGTATCTCTCTCTGTCTATCTCTCTGTTTCTGTCTGTATCTGTGTCTATCTCTCTGTGTCTGTCTATCTCTCTGTACATCTCTCTGTGTTTCTGTCTGTATCTGTGTTTGACTCTGTCTGTCTCTGTGTCTGACTCTGTCTGTCTCTGTCTGTCTATCTCTCTGTCTGTTGAAATGTCAGCCCACACCTACAGGGTTTCGGGGTGAGAATCCAAGGATTCTGCTATTACTGTGTGCAACCTGGGTCCCGTTTGTTTGACTGCTCTTTACTGCTGTTTTACTTCTTGCTTTACCTCTCTCTCTGGTCTCCTTACACTCCATTCTTTTTATGTTGACACTCTGCTCTGTTTCCCCATAATCTTTGCGGTGAACTTGGTGCCACGCTTACAGTTGGAATATATATTTTTTTCATTTTTTTTATTTCCCTGGAACGACAGAATTCGAAAGGGGGATAATTAATAGAAAATAGGTTCTACAGACAAAAAAGTACCACAGAAAGTCAGAACCTGACTTTACAACGGAATAGATCATTAAAATTTTTACATGTATGTGTATTTTTTAAAGGTCTGAAGTGCGTCTTTGGTTTTGGTGATGTTTTCCAGACGCGCTGAGATGCACGTTAAAGCAGCGCTTCTCCCAGAGTTGGGAAAACAGGGATGTTTGCTGGATACGACATGCCATGCTCACCGTCACGTGGGTGGATCGCATCCTGAAAGGGGATAAAGTGCTGAACTCGCGTTAAAAATAAAAAATATGTAGGGTGGCTTAAAGCTGACAGCGCATAAAAACCGATCCAAGTCATCCCACAGATTTCGTAAGGTAGCTTAATTCTACCTCAAACCGAAGATTTCCGAATAGTAGTCAAAGACGACAAGGAGCAAATTTCTTCTAATTTGTTATTTTCTCGAAGTACCCCCAGCGACATGTGGAAGCTTTCATTCAAGGCTTTATTTTTTGAGCTGTTGCAGATGTGAGCCAGCACTGCAGGTCTTGGCAGACGTTTGCATCGGGCCCCATCCTATCCATGTGTTTGCTAATCGCTCGCACCGCGCTGGTGGTGTCCCGTCCTTTTCTGTGGTCGTGAATCTTTTGCCCACCCCCCCCCAGCTGTGTGTATTACAGCTAGCTGCTAGTAACCTTCGCGGTCTCTCCCGGCTCACGCCACGTCGGCTTAATGTTAAATCTGTGAAGACTTCTGAGTTTATCTGCTTCTCCCCCCTGCCCGTATCCTCGGCGTTGGGGTTAGCTATCGCTGCCACGCGGCCGTTTGGCCGACCCAGTGCCACCAAGGACAAACCTGGTTGTTACGCTGGCAGCGCTGGTTACTGGTTTTTTGGTCCCCACTCAAAAAGACACTTCGGCTCCCCGCCCCCTGATTTAAAAAAAAAAAAACTAAATAGCTAGCGATTAGAGTAAAAAAATCATAGTTAGCTAGCCAGTTAGTAGAACATGCTACTTCAGGATCTCCTAAACAATTAGACGTTTGTCTTTTAAACCAAGTAGTTGAAATTGAATTGAAATGTGAGAAGTTTGGCAGGCTGGTAGGTTTTGGGCTTCTGTATTCTCAGGCTGTTCACACACAGGGACAAAGTCTCATTTAATCCCTTTAATTTCATGCTGAAAGATCTCACCTCTGGTACGCCGTCGTCTCTAACAGATGCCAATTCTGCTTTTATCCTGAATCACTTAGCGAGTTTGGGAGTGACATCAAACCGCCCCAAGTTGCAAATCTGTTCCCCATTAAAAAATGAAAAGAAAATCTTTCTTTTCCCACAATCTTCATCACACAATGAGGGCTAGGTGGGCGACGGAAACTTTTTTTTGTGTACGGAAGTCATTTCGGCTCATACACAGGGCACCGTTGTGTCCGGCTGCTGAGTTATCGTTTGCGTTGACGTTCTGTTTCCGTTGCCAGACGCTCTGGGAGCCTACGGGCTGCTGGAACGGAACCTTTTGTCCCGAACGGGAACCGTGGGGGTGGGTGCACCCCCTTATAGGAAAAGGTCACGGCCCATGGGGTGTCAGCATTGTTTTTTTCTGTGTCTTTGGGGACCCGTGTTTGGCAAAGACACTTCACAGAGGTAGGAGATCCTGGAGAAGTTATAGGATGGAACTTAAAGCACTTCGGGTACCGTGAGGGAGGTGCAGGGATGTCAGTCGCTGGGGAGTCTCAGCAGGGAGCCGTGTGTGTGTGTCTCTTAGGTCTAATACAGTGACGTCTGACAACGTTTCTGGGAAAAGTGGCACCTGCGTTTGCTGACGTTCTGCGACTTCCTCCCCATCTGGGCGTTTAAGCTTTGTCATACTCTTATGAATGCACAAACGTTTCCCTGGTGGTAATACTGGGACGGCGGTTTGGTGCTTGAAGCAGTTCCTGAGATGCGGAAGAAGGCAGGATTAGCCAGTGCCTGGAGTAGTTGGGATTAAGGACCTTGGGATTCGAAACGGCAACCTTCTGATCACATGTCCAAATCCTCTAAACCACATACCTCCCCTCATTTTTACCTGAATTGGAGCTACTGGTTCTAACAAATCATGCTTTTTAAGTACTAGGATATTAAAGCTTGAATCATGTGACTGCAAAGATGGTATCAGGTTGTTAAAAATGGATTTTCTACTTGTGTGAGGGTTGCAGACAGTAACTCGTGTAATGTCTTTCAGTGTCTGATAATTTGAACCATTTTTAAAGGTCAGTAGCACATCACGTCCAACAGGCACAGACATCTTGCCCGGTATGTTGAAAGTGTGGTGTTTCTGCCTAATTTAAAGCACTGAATGTTCCCAGTTTGGTCAGGCTTGCCTATGCTGCCGTGTATTGTGGGTAAGGTGATCCTCTTCCATTTCTTCAGGCCTGAAGATTTCAGGATGAAATGATTTGTGCAGCTGACAGCGGGGACCCACCACCTGCCATACTCACGACTCCCCAGGACTGCTTCCAGCTGCGAGAACGTCCCGCGGATCCCGATAACGCCTCGTCCTGGCAGCTGAGCTGAGCTCCGCCGTTCGTTTTTTCGCCTGTAGCCGTCCGGCTAAAACAGCAAGAGATGGACTGACCTGCGGTCGCATATTTCATCTGCCTGATTTTCAAAGTGTATTAAAGTTCCTTTTTTTGGCCCCCGCCTGTTGCCACAGACCATTTTTGCCGTCTCCCCAGAAGTTTGATCCTGCCTGCGCTTCAGACTGTGCCGCAGACTTAATTGAGATCAGATGCGTCAGTGAGACTTTTAAAATGCCAGTTTCTCCTTTTGAAGTTTGTTTGCGTTCTTAAAAAATTGTTTGCAGAGCGTCCCCTGCTTTAGTCGTTAGCCCTTGGTGAGTGAGCCGGGGCGGCTTACGTGGACCGCAGCCCAGTCCACGTCTGAGACCAACGCAATGAATACCCCCCTATTTATGGTATGACCCAAGGTGGTATGTACACACACGCCACATGCTTTCATACAAAGCAGGATCAACCAGTCCTAGAAATGGGGTGTTAAGGGCCGTGCTCAAGGTCCCAGCTGGGATTTAAACCTGCGATCTTCCAGTCGCCTTCTGGCACACAGTCCTAACACACTGAGCCATACACTGCCCCCATATTATATAATATTTTGTTATTAAATTGAATGTTTTGCAATGGCCCTCTCTGTCTCGTGTACTGTGAGTTTAAGTGTTATGGGAAGACATTATCGAATGACAGAAGCAGTTGTGGTCATACCTTAGTTTTATTGGTTACAAAACATATGATAAAGTAAAAATAAATTACTTCCTCGGTCCGAAGGTGGAGAAACTCCGGCATCCCTTTCACACGTTGGGAAAACCAACCGTTCCACAGTGAAAAGCTCCCACAAGAAGGTAGGAAAGCAGTTCTTCGGGGTCCTGTGTCGCTCGGCCTGGCACCTTGCCTGCATCCACTCGACCGCAGATGGTGCATGTTGTTCTCAGGACTTTTTAAGACTCAACATGTCACATTTGGACGCCATTTCTCTCAAATGCGTGGAGGACAAACACTAGGCTGGCAGTCTTTTTTTTTTTTGTATTTAGCTGTTTTTATGAAATGAGTACATTTGGTTCCCAAAGTTTTACCATATTTTAAAGTACATTTAAAATGTGGCACCACAAATAACTTAAACTCTATTGGCACCTTAAAAAAAAAGTACTGATTTACAGTGGGGTTTTGTGTGAAGCTTTCCAAATAAATAAGCAGTTAGAGAATGCTGAAAGGTGAGTGGAACGGGAAAAAAAAACGAACGCTGAAAGACAGGATGAAGGAAAAGAGGTGAAGGATAAACTAGCAAACCGTGCCTGTGCAAATGCTCGTAATGATGCTGAAGATGGTCATTCAGGAGAGAGCTGCACATGAACAATCACAAGCCGGTTATGCTTCGCGGTAAACCTTCCGGCTCACTCTCAGGTTACATGCAACACGCTCCGATATATTAAAATGTGACGTCTCCCCATCAATTTACCCACTCTTCCCTCCCCCACCCCGCCCCCCAAGGAAAGAAAAAGCATATACATAAAGATATCAGGCACTTTTGGGATTCGGTCTTGATAACAGCGCCCAAGACCCCTCAGAAGGTGGTAGGGGGGTGGGGGAGAGTGAGGTTTCGTAATCGCGTGGTGGTCCTGGTGCCATCGGCAGATTCCAGCACATCAGCTGAGGGTATCTGACTCCGGAGCGGCTCCCTCTGGTGGCCGTGGCTGCTTGTGGTTCGCGGCCGTCTTCCTCCCGGTCGTGCTCCTGGAGAAACGTTGTATCCCGGGGGATTGCAGCTCGACGGCGGTGTCATCGGACGGGATGGACGCGGGGTGGGCTGGGGCACCTCCGGGCTGGTAGTAGTGAGCCGGCTCGCCGCCGTAGCCCTGGTAATCCTCTTCCTCTTCCTCGTCATAATTGCCCTCGGGCTCATAGGTTTGGTAGGAGTTGGATGCCAATTGTACTACGGGAACATCGTGGTCAGACGGGCCACCATCATATCCACCGTTTAGCCGCCACCGCCAAGTAAAGTCATTGGGTTAGCGTGACAAACAGAGCAGAGAGACAAAGGCACGTTACTGACAACGCTGGACCAGCTGGGAGGCACAGGAGCAAACGGTGACACCTGGGATATTCACAGACATCGGCAGGGCAAAGCAACCAGCCAAACACCAGGGGTTAGAGCGCTGAGCCGCAGCGGTGGCGGGAACAGCGATTAAGCAGCGATCAGGGCCGACGTCGCAGGCAAACAGAGAGCTAAAACACACATGCAAAAGATACGGGCAGCTTGCTCGTGGCGGGTAAGGGAACGCGAGTCGGCTGGGATGATGATGGGCAGCTAGAGGAGGCCGGGGCGGGAAATAAACGCTCCTCACTCAACCGCCACCACGGCTAGAGTCTCTCTTTCTCTCTCTCTTTCGTGTTTTTGTCAGGGCCGAAACAGCGTGGGTGGCATACAGAATACGCTGCTCAGTAGTCATTCTCATAGTGCTGTGGGCCTTCAGACAGGACCAGCAACAGGGAGAGGAGCCCAAGACAGACAGGAAAGAAAGAAAGACAGCGATATGTCAGTAGGCAGAGCCCTGACGCTAACTGTGACTCCTACCTAAGACACAAGGCTGAGACTCTTCTAGAACTAAGCTCATTATTAGCTTTTGTTATTCGATGAAGGCTAATAGACTGTCAACAGGGTTTGGCTGTTCATTTGCACTACAGGTAAAAGTTTACAGGATTCATATGAAGACACTGTCGTTTCGTGGGCTTCAGGGTACAGAATGCAGTTTTGTTGCATATTTTAATACACTGTTTATATTTTTCAAAATGCTAACTGGAATACTTTAAGGGTTTTAATATCAATTATCAATATCAATTATTGTCAATAACATCAGCTATCCCTTGAAGCCATCGTTAATCCTGAAACTGCTACCTTTTTAATACAGAATACACAAACATTTTGGTTAATCAACACCAAAAATGGCATCTGAAGGATATGAAGCTAATAGATTAAGTAAGAATACTTAGATCTTCTTGTCCCAAACATGGATAGCATCTCTGAAGTCCTGGTGTAGCTTGCAGCAGTACAAGTCTAGTACCTACCTCAGCCAAAGCACTCTACAATGTATAGATTTTCCTAAAATATAGACTTTAATGGTGCTGGAAAAACCCATCTACTCATCTGAGGTAATTTAAATGAAGAGTGAGTACAGAAGTCTGAACACTAGCCTGCTGGCTAGTAAAAAAATTAATTTGGGACTTTTTTAATGAAGTAGTGCAGTTGCAAAAATTCTTCATTTCCCCCAGACAGAAATATGAACACTCCCAAGTGATATTTTATTGTGCCACTCAGCGCTCTATGATAGCACAGCATGAGGGATTTCTTAATGTTATGCCATGCCGTTGAAAAAAGACTGAAAACTAGTGGAAGTTGAAAATGCATATCTATACCCTCACTTGTACCTACATACAGAAATACATCTAGCTAGGGGGGGGGGTTAGTTTCCCTGACTTTAGCCACCTAACAGGACTTTTCATCAGACAACTAAGGTTCTAAGACCTCACACTCCCCCAAGCTTCCAGTGAAACTGGAAAAAGAGAATGTCATGGAACTGCAAATTTCAACATTAAAGAAGTCTGATAGCAATAAAAAGTATTTTATATGAACAATTACAGTTGTTTTCATAGCTTGAGTTTGCTGGGAAACGGCAGTTTTACAAGACAGTTGAGAGCTAAGTCAAGCAGTGTTGCTAATATTCTTGAAAATCATTTTAAGGCGGACTGCTCACAGCCCCCTTGGTCCCTCTCAAGCATAACCTTATTTCACACCCTTTTGACTGTTATCAGCTGGCCACCTTAAAGGGCATTCATGGTGTGAAAGGAAAACCCATTAAGTACCAACGCAGCAAGGAGGAGGGACCAGGTCAGATGCAAAGTTTAATGGTTACTGCCTGTTTCTGGTTTTTTTTCTGTTTATTTATGAGACGCTTTTGTCCAAAGTGACATACCGGTGAGCAAAGTCTGGGATCAGACAGTGGGGTCACCTAGAATGCAGTGCCACTGCAGCAGTTTGGGTTAAGGGCCTTGTTCAAGGGACCAGTGGTGATGTGATTACTCTGCTGGTCATGAGACTGAATCCCACATCTGTCCAGACACAGGCATAGATCCCTATGCCAGTGAGCTACACTCTGGCCATGTATGCATGTTTAATATAATCAGCCTGTGTTCACACTACAGTCAGACATGTCAGTCGTGTTTAAATATAATCAGCCTGTGTTCACACTACAGTCAGACATGTCAGTCGTGTTTAAATATAATCAGCCTGTGTTCACACTACAGTCAGACATGTCAGCCGTGTTTAAATATAATCAGCCTGTGTTCACGCCTGTGTCAGAGCCCAAACATGCATTTGCATTACAAGCAGGGAATAATTACCGCCGATGTTGTAACCCAGGCACGAGTTCTGGTCGCAGTACCCAGGCGGACCGGCAGGACCAGTAGGACCCGGCATGCCTGGCCGGCCCTGAGTTCCCGGGTTGCCAGGTCTTCCAACAGGGCCCTGGCTCCCCAGTCTCCCTTCTCCTGGGGGTCCTGGGGGGTTTGGAGGGGGGCAACATTATCAAAACCAAAAACAAGGGTCAGATCGTTACCATGACCAAACTGCACAGACACTCACATTACGGACCCATTATTCACTACGCAATACAACACATTAGCCATTTGTACAGCTGGGCGCTTTACTGAAGTCCTTCAGGTTGGCTTGCCGCTCCGCCGGAGTGCCTGTCCAGACGGGTCAGCTGGCTGTCTGGCTGCCCAATGGCAGCATCAAGATCATCCGGCCAATCAAGGTCATTTTACTGCTCTGCCTCTGAACAGGCAAATGTGGTGAGTTTTTAGTTATCTTTTAAATTAATAATGCACGATGACAGATCGGAGGTCTGAGCTAGACGGGTCTAAAAAAAATGGAATTAAGGGCTTTGGTAAACGCCAGCTTATCTAAAGAAGAAATGTAAATCACCATGGCAGTATTCTGTGTGCTGAGCAAATACTTACAGAGGAGTATAGCATGGCTAGGGAAACATGTGCAAACGTAAATGCTTCTGCTTCATTATTATTATCATTATTATTATTATATGTGGGAATGACTGGGTTCTTGGAGACTTGGAGGCTCAAGATGACCATAACAGATCCCTAGATTAGCGGTTCTCCAACCCCTCATTGAACATTCCAAGCTATTCGACATTTAAGTCCTATTGAACCAGAAGATCATTTGCTAATCAAGTAATGGTCATGGGCGTAATTGCTTGAAGCACTGGTCTAGACCATAGAATATGTCACATGGAATGCATCAGTCCATCCATTGATTGTTATTCAGCTTCTCCTGGTGCCATTAAGCTACACAGGACAGCCCGGAACTCCCTTTGCCAAACTCAGATTCCCGTTCCTCCAAAGGGTTACTCATGCACAGCTACATTTTTCAAGCTTGTCTTGAATGTGCTCAGAAGGAACATCTCCAGCGGATGCGGACCAGGGGCATGTCCTTAAAGAGTGCCCAAACCACCTTGGCTCACTCATAATATCATGGAAAATCACTCTGCCGCTGGCCTGTCTTCTTTAGGAAATGACGCTTGGCCTCCACCCACAAGGGGGCCTCACTCTCCCAAGACCATTGCTTTCAGAAAACAAATACAGGCATGACACATCTGCTTTACAGTACAATCCCAGAGTGAACTAATCGCAAGGATGCAGCTTTGCACCACGCATTACAACAGTCGCATTTCAGGGGACAACAAGAAAATGAAATTTTCACATACAAGATTGCGAAGTGCTTGTATTTTTCTTCTTTAGGATATCCACGTTATCTTCAGCTTGCACTGAGTCATCTATCACTTCCCACAATCCTTACACGTAGCCTTGTTTAGTAGTTTAGTAGTAATGCCTTTTCTTCTCGCCGTCAAGGAAAATTTCGTCAGCAAGAAGTATCGATTTAACTGCAATCAACTGCAGTGCCCTGCACTGACATTTTGGAAGATCAATACTACAGCGTTAGGGCGGAAAAAAATCGATGCGAAATGATGAGTTTTACTGAAAACATTATTTTCATATCTGCTTCATATTCTAGACGTGAATCCAGCAGCTGCTAAATCAAAAGCATCAAAAAAATGTTCTGTTCATTCCCAAGAACCAGCATTAAATGCTTTCCAGATTTTCCATTTTCAGAAAACACTCAATAAACAAAAGTCCCAGTGTGTATTAAAACAAGCCCAGTACAGATGTCTCTGATTTTGCCTAGTAGCTGTGATACTATGCTAAACATAATAAAATGCACAGACGGCGGCCCGTTATGGAGCCCCTCCCCAGTGCTGGAGCTGCCGGGCATGGCTGCGTGGTGCGGAGAGGCGTGGTTCTCACCTGGGGGGCCCTGTGGCCCTCTGGGGCCTTGACTGCCTATTCCCGGACTGCCCTTCTCCCCTGGTAAACCTGTGCAGAGACACAGGGATGTTGGCTTTGATCCCGCAAAACCATGATTTCATTCCACTTTCACACTGTACTTACGAACCATTTCAAGTGTAAATAACAACGTCCATGGGTGATAGTTTAGGAATGAAACACATTACATCAAATGAATGGGAATACAATTTATGATCTTTGAAATGATAAATAGAAATCTATCTATCTATCTATATCTATCTATCTATATCTATCTATCTATCTCTGTCTGTCTGCGTTTCTATCATTACTACATGCAACACATCATTTCAGCGTTTACCCCACTGGCCATTATCCAATTTTCCCACACTCACATCTCCACGAGCGCTCAAATACACTACTGCAGCTCTCTCTCTGGCTGCTCTTCATCTCTCCTCCGTGAAAATAACAGATAATAAACCCTCAGGCCAGTGCAAATCCTCAATGGCACCATCTCGAAATGACCGTGATTCTGGAGGCACCGAGCCGTGAAACGAGGCACCGAAATCATCTCTTTCTTCGCTCCATCAGTCGAAACTGCATCTGCAGTGTTTGCTGCTAATGCCGCTTCCTTGGGTTAAGCTGATAGGGAGGCTAAACAGGCCTGTTTATCTATCCAGTGGCTTTCATCAACACCAGACAGACCTCTGACGCAGAAACACAGTGCACCATCAAGGACTTTATTAAGGGTGTTACTCCTGGCTTGATCCATTGTAACAAATACTCCTGTCTTAATAGAGTGCAATGGTGTAAAACATCACAAGATTTGACTTGATATAACCAGCACAGTGTACCGCAAACACAGGATATCAGTAGGTGTGAATGGCATCTGTGCTTGTTACCCACATGACTTCACATGTCTATGTCTGACATACTTCTGGAACCCTGGTGCTAATCCTATAGATGTGCCTGTTACTGCAGACAGCAGTGAGTACAGAAAGCCACACGTATCGAGACCATACTGTCTATCTGGATGCCCCGAGCCGCCATCAATCCATCAAAAAGCCATCAGCGGCCTTTGCTGTAACTTCTGCTGTTTTATATACTTAACTGTGTCACGGTCAGAGCCTTCTGACCCCCCCCCCCCCCCTTTGTGACCTTTCCCCATTTGGTCAGCAGACATTGCTGGTCACTCTGCCTTTCCCCTTTCTGTTCTTCCACCCTCATGTGTTTGCCCCGCTCCCCACGTAACTCAGTGGGCTGAGCGTATATCAAATACTACAACGCTCTTAGTCAATGGTTTGGGGCTAGTTTAATCTGTTTATTTGTAATTTATTTGAAAATCGGTTGCCCTGTGTTTTTCTATCTGAGTCCCTTGAAAGATTGCCCTGCTTGTATTCTGTTCTGGTTTTGTAGTTCTGTTCCATGTGTATTATCTTAGTGGTGTATTCCCAGTTAATGTTTATTTTGCATAGTTTCGGTGTCTGATTACACTAGCCGACATCAAATTTGGTGAATAATATGAAATGACATTTTTCAAACACTCTTCATAAACAAACATTTTTTGTATATTTAGTTTTGCTCCAGCACGTCTGGTTTTTCTGGGATTTCCACTTTTTTTTACAATGCATTGTATAATTAATTATGTCATTTTGATACCAGTTATATAAAATCACCAGTAACCTGTCATAGACTAATTTTTTGTACAAACTAGTCAGCAGGGTTTACAGGCAGCTTGCAGTTATGTAAACTTACAGGTATGCTGCTGCAGGTCCACTGACGCATGCAGAACTGTGGTCCGCTTTCAGGTTCTGTCACTCAGTACCGGAAAGCGGACCACAGATAAGAAGGTTGCTGAAGGACAATGTATTTGCAGCCAAAATGGTGACAGTGGAGAGGCAAGCCTGGGAAGAATTACGTAAAGTCGTTGATGGATTTCTCGGAAACAAGAAGTCATCTGACTATGAGGTTCACGTCAAGGATATGATATGTCGTTTTCAAGATCTTGGATGTAGAATGAGTGTCAAGATGCATTTCCTAGACTCGCACCTTGACTACTTTCCTGAAAATAGTGAAGAGCAAGGTGAGAGATTTCACCAAGATATTAGTGAAATGGAGCGAAGATACCAAGGACGTTGGAATGTAAATATGATGGCTGATTATTGTTGGAATATGTACAAACAAAATCCCGAGGCTTCATACACAAGAAAATCATACCGCAGTGCTAAGTGACCAGCAAAGACATGATGAACTGTTTCTTTAATGCAACATTTGCTATAATTTGTGTCGAACTTTAATTGTAAATTGTGACAAAACCAGACGTGTGGCGGCAAATTGGAAGCCATATCCTGTAACTACATGAAAAACTGTAGAATGTGCACTTGTTTTTGTTAAATCACCTAACAAAAAGTTAAAATGTTGGCCCATGTTGTTTCTGTACTTGCTAATTTGTTTCACCTGATGCTTGTTTGTTGCCCTGTGCCACTGATTGGTTAACTGTGTGATATTCCACACCTGCCCTCTCATTAGTCCGGTTGCCTATTGTATTGAAGTGCCTGCTCTCACTCAGTTCTTCAGTCTGTCATTGTTCATGTTACTGCGCGTTACGAGTTCTGTTTGTTTCTTAGTCCTGCTCCCTGTGTTGCTCTGTTCCCTGGTGTTATTATTTAATGGTTTCTTTAGTTGTTTCTTATTTTTCCCTGTTAGTTTTGATCTCTCGCAGTCCCTTTAATTTGTCCCTTTCCCTGGTGTGTCCCGTTTAATTCAATGAACCCTTGTTTGTCTTGGACCTGGAAGTGGATTGTCACCTTTCTGCCGGCGCCATGTCATGCCGTGACAGATTGTTTGTAGGACTTTATGGTACGTTTGGCGAATGTAACCATTATCCACACTCATGGGCCCCCTAGTATTTGGACCCCTGAAAATCTTCCCCTTACTCCCCCTTATGGGAGGCCCTGACTATGAACGAGGATCCTGCAGTCCACTTCCAAATGCTCCCTCCACCCGCTCTGTCTGAGAGATCCTACCTCTGTCTCCTGGTTGACCATTTTGCCCGTTGCTCCCAGGGAACCCGGATCTGCCAGAAGGCCCCTGTTCACCCTGGGGGCCTGGGGGGCCTCTCCGGCCTGGCTCACCAGGGGGTCCCGGAATGGCCCGGACCGAGATGGCCTGGCTAGGAATGTGGTTGAGAGCGGAGGTGTAGCGCGCCATGTGACCTGTAGGGGGCATGACACTGAGCTGGTCAGTGAGCCATTTTAAACAGCCCAGGGTTCCTAAAAGATGGGATGGCTCATATTTGTATTTGTGATGAAAAAAAAAAGAAAACAGGATGTTTACTGAAAATAATGCTATTTATTGAAGATAGGTCCCTGAGGTATTATGTAATGAGACAACGTTTAAACATTCTCGGTGCGAGAAAAGACACATCGGAAGCAGGCCGCAACTCACTCTGAATCAGCTGCTCACAGACCTGCCGTGCGATTGACCGAACAACAGCCTGAGACTGCATGTCACCCTGTAAAACACACATGCCCAGAATGAGCCAGCCCCAACCAGACAGAACTGGGCCGAACTGGATCTCAGCCTTCAAAACTGTGGCCAAACAACAGTTTTGTGCATTTTACAGCCACTTCAGTATAGAATTCTATAAATAAAGTGCTTCTATCTGGAAACCTTGGGAAGGCGTCCCTTTAACAACAGGGTCGAACTTTACCTGCAAGGCACCCCCTACTGGGCTACAAGCTGTCGCACCTGCAATAGCATGAGCGCTACAGCAGCTAAGGGAAGCCCCGTGGGACAATAAGCACAGGAACTCTGCCGTGAGCCCAGCGGCAATTTTACCCAGGGAGCATATCAGTCTGTTGCTTAGTCCCTTTGATGGCGAGCGGCTAATACCGGAGAAAATGAGATTCCAAATGGCAGTAAATTGCCGATTCTCGGCTCTGACTAACTAGCAGCACCATTCGGCAAAACGCCAGACTCACCCGGTCCCCCTTTTCACCTTTAGTGCCAGCAGGACCCTGAAAGAGAGAAGAAAATTGCATCAGTATCAGAAGTAATGAAGTGTGAGGTGCTGTTTATAAATTGTTCATATGAATCACACCTGTTAGGAATGGAGAGGGGAAAAGCAGCATCGATCTTCAGAAGGGGTCACCAGGAAGCAATGGGCTCAGGGACTCTCTGACGCTCAGGGAGATCTGTGTTCCTTTAAGGAAGTGAGTCTATCGCCCTGCTATCTGGGATCCTGTGCTGGATGGCCCAGGATCAGTCTATAAACTAAACGGGTGTCTGTGACTGAGCCCCGTCGCAAGGCGGACTGTAAACAAACATCACATGCAGCTGTCTGACAGCATCTGGAACGGAGGGAGCTAGGAGGCGTCATCCAGAGGAGAATCAGGTCCACGGCAAGATGGACGTTCCTTCAGTCAGGAGCTTTTGCTGTTCCCACCCAAACCCCCGCCCCCAGACTCCCTTCTGGGGGAGAAGAATGGGGAGGATGTAGTGTACGGGCTGAGGCGGCCCCTCCCTTATCGACTCCTCCGTATCCCATGGCGTTGCCATGGCAACAAACTCCAACTAAACAAAGACAAGGACGTTGGAAAACAGGTCCCAGGCCAGTGTGGAGTGCTCGCCTGCTGCTCCCGCTGGCTTCAAGCTGCTGCCTGCAGACGTCTGACTGAATTTTATGCACAAGCTCCATAGAAGATGGCTTTATGGCGCCCGGGAATCACACAGCGGCGGAGAGAGAGGCCACGACCTGAACAGGTATCAAATACCGTCATGTCAACTGTTAATGATACTCAACAATAATAATCAGTTCCCCCTGCTGCAGTAGAAAAAAAGCCAAATATTTCACAGTGGGGTCCAGAATCCACACTGAAGGATTTGTCTGAAGAACAAGGTTAGCTGCAATAAAAACATATTTTGAGGGTCTCTCGGTGCTGGGGGGACCACACTGTAGCGCTGTGTGATGAATACTCAAGTGTTTTGGGGTCTCTTGTGCCAGGACCTTAAAGATGATGATTTGGAGTCATATAACTGAGCTGTCAAGAGGCTCTCCAGCTTATCTCTGTGTGGCGAGGGAGGTGGAAGAGGGCCAGTAAATCACGTCTAAGGTCGGGGGGGTTACGGGCAGAGGCAGGATGACACATTGACCATCCTCATGCGGACCCTTGGTGTGATGCAGGGCCCTCTGGCACCCGACAGCCTCTTGGTTGGGAAGCTTAGAGAGAGAGAGATGTGTCCCCACTGACAGAAAGCGGTTTGTTTCTGACCCGGGTTGACCTCGCCCTCATCACCGGGGTGGTCCGAAAGTGTGCGGTCAACTGAGCGGAAAAACTAAGCTTATCACCGGGGCAAGATAAACCACAACAAGGGAGAAAAGGCAATCAGGTGATGACTGTGCCAAAGGATTGGAAAGGTCCATTTCGGTCTAACTGGTCTATACCAGTTTCACTGATGACCCCTTTGACAGGTAGACGTGGAAGTAGATCAGAAGGATCAGTCCAAGCTCTACTGGTACAGTCCTGAAATTAGGTATTTAATGTAACAGCCGACTATGTTGAACTTCTACATGAAGGAAATGGGTCCATCATGAAAAAGGTGAACTTTATGTGCTGAAACTGCAGTAACAGTAAAAAGAAGATATAGTAAAGATGAGCCATATTCATAAAAAAAGAGAACGACTTAATATGAGTGTGTGAGGAGTGTGTGAGGAGTGTGTGGGCCTCCTCCAGGTCCTCGTCTTCAAGTTGGATCGGTGTCCCTAAATCTCCGGTTGGTTTTTGAGGTGTCTGCATGCGCCGCATGATGGACTGGCCCCCGAATCGCGCGCTCCACTTCTGGGAGGTGCTCCAGACTCACCGGGATCCTGCACTAGATGAGCACTTATGAAAAATGAACAGAGGGACGGATGGATTTCTGTGGATGAACTCCCGGTGAGATAAATGCATGATGAAGCTCCTCAGTCACTCTGGAGCAAACTGCAGCGGTCAGTAACCCAGGTAACAGGACAAGATGGAGAGATGAGGCAGTAGAAGAATGCATATCAACTTCTCGACTTACCGGTGGTCCCTGATCACCCAGCGATCCTGGGGATCCAGGTGATCCAGGTGATCCAGGAGCTCCAGGGGAACCCTTTTGGTGTGAAGAAGTGAGAAAAGAAGCATAATGGCTACATCTTGGAGATACATTGGTCTGTCTGCACCTTCTCCTTAAAGGTCCAACACAGCCATTACTGCAGATTTATGAGATTTTCAGCATTCATACTTAGGGCAAATCAGAACACCGTGGATTTGAGAAAAAATGCGGATGAGAGATCAATCCAACATGAAGAATCAGCTGGTCAGGGAGCAGAATTTACGTTGCCGAGGAACAAAATCTACGCTTTTGGAACACGACACATGTCGTGACGCCGATGCTCACCATCAGACCTGGGGGGCCCTGTTGTCCCGGAGGGCCATCTTTCCCTGACAGGCCCTGGAAGTCAGAATTCAGAGTTAGTCATGTGACCTCAACAGAGCAGCTGGTGAGTCCTAAACAGAGAGAATGGGCTTCAAAACAGGGAGAACAAATGAAAATGGACAGAAATCGCAAATGAGGAAAAATGGATGGTTGAGTAAAAACCCAACGAATGGTGTCATGTTCTCAGGCTTGCGGCTGTTAGTACAGCACGGGAAATATTACTGTGGCTGCCGTGAAGCCAGCTAGGTCACATGACACGGACACCGCTACAGAGAGACGGCGAAGGCAGCCTGATGTTGGCAGATGAGACTATCCCTTTGGCTGACTTCTGAGAGCTGGCGTTCGTGCCTCCCAGATGAGCCCTGACTTCCTGTCGTTAATCTATCTAACTAGACAACAATAATCAATCTGCGAGAGCGGTCCGACGCGCGTCGTCCAGACGCTGAGAGAAGATGAGGGGGGGGGGGGTGGCGGGACAAACTATGTGATGGCTGCAGAACTCATAATGGCCGGATGAGTAAATTAAGAAAACAGGTATGAAAGGATGGGCATGTTGAGGATGAGCCAATGCTCAGGCTGGGCTTGCTAAAGGAATACTGGACCTGTCTGGCATCCCACGCAAACTAGATTAAACAAGAAAAAAAAACACACACATGAGTTCCAAGCAGTGCTCCGTCAAAAAAACCAATAAAAAAAATAAACGGTACTATTTACCCAAAGTCCTTTGTCCTCGTGAGACCATGAGCCTTTTAAGTACTATTAGGGCCTCATGAACCCACAGAAACGCCTCATAAGACTCAGCCAAACCATAGCGCGTACGCCGGCGAGAGCTGACGCGGCAGACTGCGCGGGTCGGGCCGGACCAGCGCCGGCTCTCGCTGAAGGTGCTCCCCACCCCGCCCGTACCACCGCCCTCCAGAGCAGTTTGATTCGTTTTGGTTCGGAATTGAAATATAACAAACTACGCTTATTCCATATCATTCCTGAGGGACAGGGGAGTGTCTTCCGTCAAGTCTTGTCGGTCCAGGATGACCGAAGTCGTGGTCTTCTCCCAGGTCTTCTGGCGGTCCTCCGTAAGGGTTACGCCACGGCGACAGAGGAACAGCTAGCCAGCAACGCTCTGGCAAATCCCGCTGGCGTTCCCTTTATTTTCCACTCAAACAAATAAAAAAAAAAATCAGTTTTGTCCCGTCGCTCCAAAGTCCTCAGTGTCTCGTCGAGCTTTTGTGTCTGTTTCCCTCCTTTTTGGTTCATCTGTGGACGCTGAATCTATGGCTTCCAGGGACACACCGCTGGTCCACAAAGTCCGCGACATTTTGGACAGCGCACTTTACATTCATTTGATTTTATTACATTCATGGCCCGAATGCACTACACTACAAATGATTTAACATAAAGAAACCGTATGCTAAAGGTTTCCAAGAAAATAAATTTGTCTTAATTCTAAATTTTAATAATCTTAATTTTAATTAATATGCCAATTGACTGCTGCACTGGACCATTACTTTATGGCGTACGGCATATTTAAGTATTTCACCAGTAATGCATATATACACGCTGCTAACAAATACTCAGAAAAATTACTTTTTAAGAAGTTTTCTTTCGCCTTGGAGGTGACAGATGCAGCATGTTTTTACCGTACAGAAATGAGAATTACAACTCGTAATTACCAATTGACAACTTAAAAATGCATTTTAAAAAATAGTGGCTTTCCTTCTTTCCTTCATCTTACCCTTTTGAGAAGTCACAAAGCTTTTCTGAAGGCATAAAAAGCTCTCGTGACGTTTTTATATTTATTCTAGCCCGAGCGCAGCCTTGGGAGACCAAACCTGAACTATTTCAAATCTGTAATTTGTTAAATTAGACAGGAGAATGATGGAGTCTTTGTTTGTAGTACTATTAATGCTCTGCCGATCAGATTTAAGGCTGGACGGCATAGCCGGGCTGCACGAGGGAGTGACTTAGCCGTCTGGATCACTGCCTGTCTGGTGTCTAATCAAGGCTGCTCTCCAGCCTGCCAGCGACTCAGACTGTCACTTACAGGGGCGGCCGCATAAATCCAGAAACAGGGGGCATTTTTCAGCCTGTAGCTGCAGTGAAGCAGTGAACTTATCGGCTTTCAAAGTTCAAGCCCGACTAAAAAAAGAAAAAAATGCAATTTTTATATTTAAAATATTGTAAATAGAAGCATCAATTATGGCTCAATAAGCAGGCAGCAGGGTAACTGACTTCCAGGGACAGAGCAGCATTTCGACACTCAATAATATGGACAGGACAGTGGCCCCCAGTGACATCACACTCAACCGCTGGGGGAAACTGCAGCCTCTTCTGACCCTGACTGTCACTGTCGGGGTCTGTCCCGTCTGGTCCTGCCATTTGTGTCGCTTCCCCGTTTGGCCAGCAGGTGTCGCTGGCCATCCCGTCGTCACTCCTTGTCAAACCCTTGTGTTTCTCTTGCTTCTCCAACCACCACGTAGCTCAGTGGGCTAAGCATGCAGCTCAGAGACTGTGGGTTAGCCTCAGGCCAGTCTCATCTGTTTATTCTTATTTATTAATTTTGTTTCCCAGTGTTTCTTGTTTTCTTTTCTGTCCTCCCGGTTATAGGCTGCCCTGCTGTTTTCCTGTTCATTCTGTTCTTGTTTTTATTATTTGGTTCTATAAATTATCCTAGTGTAGTAATTCCCAGTGTGGTTACTGTTTCCTAGTTTCAGTGTTTGTTATAAATCCCTAGTTTTTGTGCCTGTTATTCTTATTCACCCCACCAGTTGCTTGTTGCTATGGTTCGGGTTGATTGACTGATGTTCCACACCTGCCCTCTCGTTAGCTGGTTACTTGTTTCTGTTTAAGGCCCCATGTCACATCTGTTCTTTAGTTAGTCACTGAGTGTGGTGTGTTCCTTCATCCCCGTCTGCGCCAAGCCCCGCCACTCCACCACAACACACCAAGGTCCATTACTGAAAGCAGAAGCACACTTACCCTTTGTCCGCTTGGGCCGTCTCGTCCCGAAACCCCAGAAGGTCCAGGGACACCCTGAAAGATCAGTAGTTCAGAATCTGACTGATTCATGGCTTGACAAACCCCCCCCCCCCCCCCCCCCCCCTTGTCAACCCCCCGTTCCCGCCCCCCCCCCCCCCCCCCACCCACTCTCTGTCTTGTATGCACTCAACCCCAATGTGACAATTACGTCAAAACTGTTTTTTCTGTAACAAGAAGTCTGACCTTTAGCGTCGGCTGAATATGTGAGACGTGGCTGGAAACACCATGTTAACTCTTGTCTTCCACTCTGGCTCTTCTCTAGACTCTCGAAACCTTCCCCTCATGAGGCAACCAGGCAGCCTTGTTAGCTAGACAGCAACGACGCTAAGTAGCTCTGTGTAAACGCATTCACTCTCAGAGATCTAAAGCACCAAATTTATGGTGGATACACACTCACCATCAGGGCCGAGTTTTTATATTTTGGGTCCCCTGCATCCCTTCAGGTGTATCAAAAACTAAACAAATAGTTGGCAAGAAGAGGTATAAGATCATAGCTAAATAGCTGGTTAGCAGATCACGCTGCTTCAGAATCACCTAAATAACAAATGTTTTTATTTAATATTTAGTGCAATAGTGTAGTGACTGCTTATAGTCAACAGGGGGCTGCCAAACCTCAGGGGCCCCAGCCAAACGTGAGGTTTGAATGATGGTAAACACTACTGCTGCTTGTGTTATGCTGGAGAACCACGCGTCTGTGTTATCACAGCGGTCGCATGATCCCCGGGTTTGTTCTGAAAGTGACGATGCAGTGACGGTACTCTGGACCTCTGTGGACCTGCAGAGGTGAGCCGTGCTCCTGGGGACGTGTGACGTAATGGCACAGGCCTCATCGCCAGTGGCAGGACAATGCCAGCCCCCATAACGGGCATAAGTCACACAGGGGCGGCCCAGAGGACATCCTGGCACAGACCGTGCACCAACAGCAGAACTGGCGCTATCCGATTTGCAGATACAAGGTAGTTTGGGTCACGTGTGTGTTGTAAGACCATGAGCTTCAGGCATGGAGAGCCGAGGACCTAAAACATCAGCTGGCTGCTGACCTACTGCTGATGGGCTATAAGGGGTTTGGATCATCTGTACCGAGACCCGTGAACTCAGTCAAACTGGCTCAAAGCTTAAAACTGCATACAAATCCACGCCCTCTCTATTCTAATTGATACATAATATTTTTTTTCCTTTGTCATTTTGAAAACCAAGTGCAGTGCTTTCCTCCAGCTGACAGAGGGCGCAGTTACAAATATCACTGCATAACCAATTCCATAAGTAATGGACAGCTCTTGTGAATTATTAACCTGAACAGACTCACAATGTGCACGTGCATAGGGCCCCAGGGAGGGGGGGGGGGGGGGGGAAGGGGGGGGGGGGGGGGGGAGGGGGGGTGGGGGGGGGTCACTCTTTGGTAGGTCGGCAAAAAAAAAAACATCAACGAAGAGGCCCGATTCTTTCTAAAGAAGCGAGAGGTAAGTGAAAGGATGAAAGGCTCGAGAGCTCAATGGTGTGGAGGCTGAAAGGCTGGCTAGGGGCTCAGTCCACCCCCCCCACACTACCCTATTTGCCCCCCCCCCTAAGCCACAAAAGGGAGCGAGTCTCAGGCTCACTGAAAGCCAGCAGAGCGTTGAAATATCAGACCGATGCATTCGGTGTTCCTTTACTGGATGGCCTTCATCTCTCTCTCTCTCTCTCTCTCTCTCACACACACACACACACACGCACACACACTCTAGGCTAGCTTTGGTGATTAATAGTGGCTTCAGCTCATTGTGGTGAGTTCTTCTGTTTTTTAAATGTGACTGCTTGTCAGCCCCCCCACTGGCAAAGGCACGGTGTGGCAGGCCCCCCATCGCCGTGACGCCTCTTATCTCTGAACGGGGGCCCGGCTGTCTCATTACCCAGCCGTCTAGCCGGGGCGGGGACCCCGTTCGGGCCAGATGTGACAGCTAATGATGCTCCTGTCTGCACTGGCGAATCAGCAAGCTCAATTTAAACGAGAATGTGATGGAGAACTCGTACCTGCGGCCCCTGCAGACCCACTTCTCCCTTTTCTCCTTTGGCCCCAGGATCACCCTGAAAGAGAGAGAGAGAGAGAGAGAGAAGTCACTTATTTAGCCCGTGACACCCAGGTCTGCACTCGACTCTCTGGGGTGAGTGTAGGAAGCCCCCCCCCCCGCCACTCGGGCACATTTGCCAGCTCTGGTAAAACCTGCAACCCCCAGACCTCCATTCTGCGGGGCCCATGATTCAGCGGCGGTAACCCTGGAAACGACCATCTGAGAAAGCAGCCTCAGAACTCTCATAACGGCCTATTGTGTGTTTTTCACAAAGAACAAGCAAGTTATTATTTCCACTTAAATACATTCCATTATTTCTATTTCAAAACAATTGCAAAAAAAAATTGCCACCATTAATATTCCATAAAGGCAATTTTTATGTCATATGCGCAGCACTGAATGTTAGCTGCAAAGTATCACTATTTTAAGTTTTCTGTATTCTTCCACTAGACCCCCTGCCATTCTCTGTACAATGTAAAACTCCATGGCAGTAACCAATCGGAGTGATTGGAGGATCACCGGGCCACCATTGAGGAGGCTCCATGTAAAAGGACACATGACTAGACTGTACCACTTGTGAACTCACCGGGGGCCCCTGGATGGACATTCCGCTGATCCCCTGGGGACCAGGGGGTCCCTGAGGGCCGGGGGTCCCCATCTCTCCTAAGGGTCCCGGAGGCCCCTGTGACAGAAGACAACACCAGCAGCCAATCATTCTGCATCCGAGGAGAATGTCCAGCAGCCACACCGCTCTGGGAATGACATGCAATCTCACTATAACCCCATCTGGAGGTTTTTCATGCACTTGACATTAAAAATGTGCAGAGTCCTTGTTAAAAACATGTTTACACGACAAAATACAGATAACGCTGGTTTTTGGGTCTTCGGCCTAGCAGAGAACACCAAGCCGCAGCAAACCTGCATGAATCTTCTTTATGTGGATCGTCACAGGAGTTTACATAAGAGTGTTTGTCACAGGCTGATCTTGCCCATATGGCACGCAACTGAAATTAGATAACGACAATGATTTGTTCATTCGGACTGTGGGGGAATATATTCTCCACGGAACGTTAGACAGCTCTGACTATTTTGAAAAAGAGAGTGGGGGGGGGGGGGGGGGGGGGGGGGGGGAGAAGAGACAGATT